TGAGTAGTGGGCAGGGGACTAGATAACAATGCTTCTCCCTCAGCTTTTTTGGGGGGGACGGGGGGAGGGTAATGTTTGTGTATTCAGATGAACACCTGCATGCGTGTGATGCCTAATAAATAATCCTAGGTTTCCTTATTATCAAAGATTCAGTGCAATTTCAAACATAAAATGTGGGAATATGCCTCAATAGGAAAAAATAATTATGTGAGTGTTAACACAAAATGACAGAAATTAGATGGTTTTATTAAAAATTGAATACCTTTGATCAATGTTTATAATGCTTCAGTACACAGATGTGCACAATTGCTTTAAACTGTTATTTAATAGCTATTGACTAAATAAACATTAATTAAAATAATGGCAGCAAAAATAAAGTATGGCTAACTCTGTTTTGAAATGTGCACCAAAGTCTCATCTTAACATTCTGGAGAGCATTCTGTCTTGATCAAACTTGTTCCTATGCGAAGTTATTACTTCAAGTAGGTGAGTCACTTCTTCTATTATAGTGATTTATGTAGAGCTCCACTAAGTTTGTACCACAACAGGGCCAGGGCCGTCCATGAAGTGAACTGAGGCAGCTGCCTCAGGTGGCAGAATCCAGGTGGGGTGCCAGTGCCACAGGTGTCCCATCCACACACCCCACCACCACCACCCCACAATGACGACAGAGAAGCAAGGAGAAGCAGCTGTGGCAATGGCTTCCAAAATGATCTTGTGAGAGCCCCAGGAAATATTGTGAGATCTCATTGAGCTCTTGCCTTAACTGGAGAAACAGGACACATCCCCCCTGCATAACAATAATGTTCCTCAGAAACTTATTATTTGGGGTTATTTGCTGTTATCTGATAATTGAGCTCCCATTAAGGAATTATAACTCTCAGATATCAGTAACCTTCTTTTGTGCTATCTTTAAATTATCTTCTGGTAAGAGATATCAGATGATTAGCTGAAATACTAGGGCCATAGCAATATGACCTGTTTCCAAATAGTGTTTGAATAGAAATTGTGATAATTGATTCATTGTAACTGTCTAATAAGTTCTTATTTTACCCCAGCTTCCCCTGTCTTCAGTTTCTACAATGTGAGCAAAGTCTAACACATTTAATTAAAGGGAAATAAAATTGTTTATTAAAATTATCTGGTAGTATTCAACTAAGTTTTACCCAGAGTAGATGCACTGAAATGAAAGAACATGACTAAGTTAGGTCTGTTAATTTCAGCGGGTCTTTTCTGAGTAAAATTAGCTGAATTTCACTCATAATGCTTTAATACTAATTTTTTAAGGAAAACTCTATCTCAAACTTGTCTAGTAGCTATAACATATGGAGTGAAGGTATAAATCTGATTGCTTGCTACTGTGCCTTGTTCTTCAAAGATTTATAACTAGCCATAACTTTGACCTCCAGACTACAACCTAGCACTCAAGGCCTTTCCTGCAAATGTTACGTTCAACAAATGTTCTTTAGATATAGATTCATGGAGGCAACACACAGTACATATATTCCAGAATGACAGCCTGCAATAAACAATACCCATGATATTTATTTATTTAAGGATTTATAATCTGAACTTTCATAAAAACAGAGCAAGGTGGAATATGTTATATATGTACTTAATGAAATATTGCTGGTTTTCAAACTGTAGTTTCCATTCAGAGTGCTGTTTCAGAAACCTACAGCAATGAAGATTAACAAATGTGAATGCAATGTTAATTTCTGGTTGAAATCATGACTGTAATAGGCACCAGGGAACCTACTGAAGCATCCAGAAAGATTATGTTAGCTCTGTGGTAGATGCCAGCATACTATTTGGAAATCATTGCATGTAAGGCCAGTGTAGATTTTTTCCAGAAAAATTAGGCACAATTAGTAGTCCTAGAGAGAAAAAAGAATCTGTCAGTTCTTCCTGTCTTCACACATGAATGAAGTTAGTAACCAAAATAGGAAGGGAAATATTATAATTTGAAAACTGACAGACCCTAATTTGAAAACTGACAGTAACTTTCATCGCCTCTTAAAACCAGAAATTGTGAACATGCTGCCCTCTAGGTAGGAACAACCAACAAATCAAATGGGAAATGTGAAGGTAAGTCTCCAACTCAGTGAGAGTGAAAGCAGAAAAAAGACATGAGAAGCAGATGATCATTGGAAGAGGTAAGAAAGGAAAGTGAAATGAGAGAGATGGTGGATGAGGTGATATCATGCTGCAGTGCAAGAAAATATTTCCCATTTAACAGGCAATAACTTAGAAAGTAAATACTTCTGCATTACTACCTTAAACTCTAGAAAGGGTATGTGGGCACTTGCACTTGCACATGTGTGTCTGTGTGCAACTCCCTTAAATGCAGAGTAATGAAATGGGGTTGTAACTGTTTAAATGCCAAAACCAGTGAATCAACATAGTCAGTAGTCACAGAAGTAAAAGGAAATTGAGCATTGAGTGTAATATGGGAATGTGGTAATAGGGGAAATATATAATATTTGCAGAAGTCTATGCAAGTGATATATTCTAGGCGGAAAACATGGATGTGTTGTACCTTTTTTATAAAAAAAATGAAAACTCTTTTGTGTGAATGGGATTAGTTAAAGAAAATTGTTGCTGCCACTTGATTATGTCCCTTCTGTACTCTTGAGTAACCTCTATAATTGTGGAAAGTTAAGGCTGTTATGATTGCCAATGAGGCAAGTTTTGTTCTGGGCATTTGTTGCATTTTCTGAGGTACTAACATTTATTTAACTTGTAAATTGCAGTGTGTGTGTGTGAGAGAGAGAGAGAGAGAGAGAGAGAGATTTCAAGATTTCAAACCTTTATTGCATAGCAAACAGCCATAGCAAAATAAGACAATACAAAAAAAAAAAAAAAAGACAAACTAGAGACAAGCAACCCAAGCAAAATTGAGGCGATTTGGCTGCGTAGTGACATTTAAGTTACCCGAAGACAATAATGCAAAGATATAGTAGCCAGCACCAAAAACTAATATGCGGATATATATAAAGCACAAAATGGCCCCAGAACAGACTCGGCATATTGAGTTAAAAGTAATAAAAGAATTAAAACAGGTCCAGGTCTAGGGCACGCTACCCTGTCAGAGTAGCCCTGAGTTTCAGAGCCTGCACTATGAAGATTGCCACCCCACGTGAAATTTGGGGATTTGCGTCCACAAGAAGCGATTTCAAACAGTCTTCCTTAGATGTAATGGTGGACGGGATCAAAAGGAGGAGCTTAGATCTTATTGGCTCATAAATAGGGCAGTAGAAAAAGAAATGTATGAAGTCCTCTACTTCATTCATTGTGCATGGACATAGACGCTGGGTAATAGGGGTCTTAGAGTAAATCCCCTGCAGGAAGGCCGTGGGTATAGAATGGAAGCGGGCCATAGTAAAATGCTCTTCTCAAATTGGGCTCCATCAGGTCTATCAAGTAGTTGGCAAGTGATCTTACCACTTTCACTTTAGGGAGCCACATGGAGAGGCGACTGAGGTGGACTGTGCCCGGTCCATGGCCTCGTCTCTTGTAAGAATCCAGGCCCGGATTTTATGTTTGTCCCAAGAGGACAGCGAGTCAAGATCTGGGAGAGAGTAGCGTGCAGTAATAGTCACCATGGCCTTGGACCATTTATTGCTTTGAGAACACGTTAAAAAGGCTTGCCTGGCTAGTAGGGAACCTGGGGCATTGATTAATTTACAATAAAAGCTAATAATTCTAATGGGGCTCTCGCAACAATGGAGGGGAGGCCCAGTTCTGTTCTTAACTGTGCTGCAACCGAGCCCTTGGGGAGACCCAGTACCTTCCGTGCAAAAGAGTTTTGTAGAATCTCCAGCCGTTGTAGTGTTTTTAAATTCCACCCCCAGATTTCAACCCCATACAGTAACATCGCGAGGACTTTGCTGATAAATGCTTTTCTGATTGGTGGAACCAGCTGGCCGCCTTTTGCATAGTAGAATTTCTCCAAGGCTTTGATGGTTCTGCGGGCAGCCAGGATGGTTGTATTTAGGTGAGCTGACCAGCTAAGCCCATGCTGAAAAATGATACCCAAATACTTGAATGCTGAACAATATTCAATAGAATGGCCCTCAAAATTCCAGAGTGACTTCCGAGTTTTCGTGCCAAAGTAAGAATTTTGGTTTTGGCGAAATTAATTTTAAGGGAGTTGGTATCACAATATGTCATGAGCCCTCTGAGCGTGTTGTTTAAGCCAGCTTGGTTAATGACAGTATCACCATGTCGTCCGCATAGAGTAATATGGGGATCTTGAGCTGTGTAAGGAGGGGGCAGATTGATTTAGGGCCTTCATAGTTGTAACGATGTCATTGATATAGAAATTGAATAGAAAAGGGGCCAAGAGGCAACCCTGTTTGACCCCTTTATTTCAGAGGGAAAGAATCAGAAAGAGCTCCCAGAGGGCCGAATTTACTCTGGCCGATATGTCATTATGAATTTCCATAAGAAGGAGGAGGAGTCTCTTATCTATGTTGGTGTAACTAAGCTTCTGCCATAGCCTATCTCTGGGAATGGAGTCAAAGGCGGAGGTCAGGTCCACAAAAAGCGCGTGTAGTTTGCAGTTGAACCTGTTTAGGTATTTATCAATCAGGGTAAATAGAACAAGACATTGGCCAGATGTGCTGTGACCTTTACGGAAGCCAGCCTGTTCCGGATGGAATAGCTTTGTTTCTTCTGCCACTCGATTAATTCTCTAGCAAGAATCTAGAGTAAACCTTGTATGATATGTCCAACAGGCTGATAGGTCGGGTAGTTACGCGGATCTTGTGGGTCCCCCTTTTTATGTATGGGATGACTATGCTCTGTTTCCAGTTAGGTGGAATCTAAGAGTAGCATTAATGGTGGTAAAGAGAGATGCTAAGATAGGGGCCCACCACGACTGGTTCGATAAAAATACCTCAGGTGGTATCATATCCTCCCCGGGGATTTATCCCCTGATAGCATGCTAATTAGTTGAGTACATCTCTCTGGGGAGATTGAAAGCACTGTGTTTCCAGCTAGACAGTAGCCATAAGTCAATGCTACTTTTCCTAACACAGTTGGCTCCCATGTAGGTGTGTTTAGGATTGAAGCCTTAATTTTCCGTATTTAATTCTAGTGTTTTAGTTTGTTGCTGAATGTTAGACTGCATTGCTTCATTCTGAAATTGATCGGATATATGTATTTTTTTGTCTATAAGTTGCCTGGCAGTGACATTGCAAGTGGAAGTGATGTGCTTTCTGACATCATACCCAGTATATCAAGCTCTCCCTGCATGCTCCCAAAAAAGAAAAACAAGCACAGGAATCTTGATGAGCTTCCATGGAGTGCAATGACTAACGATGAACAGGTAAAACCTTTTTCCATTTGGAGACTGCATGCTCGTAAACAAATTTTTAAGGGCTAAATTATTCATAGCAGATAAAACTCTGGTTTGTAACAGTAAGTGCTAATTCTCTTAATTAAGTTTTATTTTTCTGTGGTGTTCAAGGTATCTTGAATTGTGAAAGAGCTGACATTTATACCCTGCCTCCATCTAATAAAAATGTTTTAAAGCCCCCCAAAGGCCATCCATAATAGACTAAATAGAGGATAAAGCATAACTAGCAGATAGCAACTGGTAGGAAAGTATTGGGGAGGATAGACAGTAAGGCTTTGGCTTGTTGTCTAAGAGGCAGAGATAGTGCTACCCAAATTTCTCTGAGGAGGGCATCCAAAGCAGGAGGCTTCAACCAAGAAAATCCTGTCCTCCTCTCACAACACATCTCCCCCTTGAATGTGGGGATTCTCAGTGAACATTATGGAACTAACTACTGTTCCATTATTTTGTTATTGTATATTTGATGTGTTAGCCGCCCTGAGCCCGGGCTCGGCTGGGGGAGGGCGGAGATATAAATAAAATTTATTATTATATATTATAATTATTTTCTTAGGTGGATATATTGAATACCTGGTCGTAAAGTCAGCATGGGATGGGGCTCGAGAGCAGTTGACATCATTAAATTATTGATCCCACAGCTCAGATTTCTCCTACAGACAATGAGTTTATTATCGAACTAAATTGCCTCACTGATGAAAGCTGAACAGGTATGTGAAACTGAGCTTGGAGATTCTTTTTTAAACCAACTGTTTGTCTTATTCTGGTATGCATGATCTTGCTGCATACTTCTATAAACAGTAACAGTTAGTTGTTAATTTAAGGGCAACTGAAAGGACTTAATGCATTTTATTTGGAATGAGCTGTCATAAGGTAGAGCCCTCTTTGTTGGGCCCCTCAAGAGTAAGAATACATACTTCTACAATTGTGTCAGGGTTGTTCCATCCCTTTCGTTCTCCATCAGATTTTTGTTGTTACTCATATGTGTTTCATATGTGTTAACTTGAAAATATTTCCACCATACCTTACTAATAAAGAGATACTTATGGAAGGTAGTGGCCTGTGGATATCCTCGTCTATCAGCATACTCTCTGGAGATGGGGATCCTTGAATATCCTGGTCCCAGGCTACTTAGGGCATTAAAGTATATTGAAAAGGAGGGAAAGTCATTGGTGTTGGTGGGTGAGCATCTACTCTTGGGTTTTCCTTTCTTTCTACAGCAGAGTTCTTTTTACAGAAAACTTTTCCTGCGTCTTTTACTTCTTTACAGCAGCAGCATTGCAGCTCCTAGTGAAATTCCCATTACAGGAATAAACACCGTTTGGTTCTGTTTCTCAGAGCCTTTATTGTTTACAAAACTTTACACTGGTCATTTAATAGAGAAAACAAATAAAGCAACATAATCTTTTTCTCTTTTAGCCAGAGAATCCTGGGAACTCTGGGGTGTTGTTTTTTAATGGTGCCGAGAATTATTTGGGGATTCCTGTTCCCCTCATAGAGCTGCAATTCCCAGACTTTCTTGGGGAGAGAGATTGATTGCTTAACCACCTAGAAATTTTAGTTCTGTGAGGGGAACAGTAGTTTTCCTAATAATTCTCAGCATCGTTAACTAACCACAGTGCTCAGGATTTTTTGGCCAGAAGCCATGATTAAATTGGTATAATAGTGCTTTGGATCGAAACAAAATAAAATAAAAAATCCTTTCAGTAGCACCATAAAGGTAAAGGTAAAGGTACCCCTGCCCGTATGGGCCAGTCTTGACAGACTCTAGGGTTGTGCGCTCATCTCACTCTAGAGGCCAGGAGCCAGCGCTGTCCGCAGACAATTCCGGGTCATGTGGCCAGCGTGACGAAGTTGCTCTGGCGAACCGGCACCAGAGCAGCACACGGAAACGCCGTTTACCTTCCCGCTATAAAGCGGTACCTATTTATCTACTTGCACTTAAGGGTGCTTTCGAACTGCTAGGTGGGCAGGAGCTGGGACCGAACGACGGGAGCTCACCCTGCCGCGGGGATTCAAACCGCCGACCATGCGATCGGCAAGTCCTAGGTGCTGAGGTTTTACCCACAGCGCCACCCGCGTCCCATCAGTAGCACCATAGAGACCAACTAAGTTTGTTATTGGTATGAGCTTTCGGGTGCATGCACACTTCAGCCCATACCAATAATAAACTTAGTTGGTCTCTAAGGTGCTACTGGAAGGAATTTTTTTATTTTGTTTCGACTACGGCAGACCAACACAGCTACCTACCTGTAACTAGTGCTTTGGATGTTATTGTGTGGATGTGGCCTCAGTCTTTTGAAGGCCAGGTGTATCCAAGCGCTTGCCACTTTGACTCTTCGCCTTGACTTCTTTCTTTGTGCGTTTAGGTCAGAAATTATATCAAGGAGCATGGCCCCCGGCAGCGGTCTGCAAGGGAGAACTGGAAGCGAAGCAGCTACAGTTGTGGCAGTGCCAGTGGAGTGAGCGGTGCCAGCGCCAGCAGCAGCAGCGCCAGCATGGTCAGCTCAGCGAGCAGTAGCGGTTCCAGCATTGGCAACTCTGGTTCAAACTCCAGCGCCAACATGAGCCGGGCTCACAGCGACAGCAACTTATCTGCAAGTGCTGCAGAGCGAATCAGGGATTCAAAAGTAAAGCTTCAGATTCAGATGGACTTTTAAAAAACCTTATTAGTATACTTTGAATCATTACAGTTAAAATGTAAATGCATTTACATGTTGCAAAAGCTTGATGAATGTTATTTTTTGAGGATTCCGGAGAAAAGGGTAGCCCACCTTTCCTGTAGGTAACTTGCAGCTTAATGAGCTCTAACACTCTTTTATTTTGACATCAGATTTGAAAGTACGGAATAAGAGCTAAAACAGCTTAAACAAACAAGTTCAGTATTTGTTAGCATTGTGGACAATTGAACTTTGAAAGATTAGCACTTTCAGTATAGCACCATCAATTTCAATTACTCTTATTTCTTCATGAAAGCCATAGGATACTCCTGACCCCAAAGGGAAACTAGCTGTTAACTTTGGATTGTAGTCAAATAAAATGTCATTAAGATTTCTCTTTTTTGTTTTCTTTTTTAATTTTTATATCTATACAATCAAAGGTGAAGGAAAGCAGCCATTCCCAAGTCGAGTCACATTTTGAACCAAAGAAAGCAATGAATATGGTCTTATGTTGTTGTTAAATTTATAGCTCCAAAAAAGAAATTGTTGGTTTTTTGGATTTATATACCACCCTTCTTCCTCAAGATGCCCAGGGCAGGAAACAGATATGCAACTTAAAAAAAGAAAACAAAGCAAAAACATTCTAAAACAGTTTAAAACATTAGGAAACCAGTTACAGTTACATTATTCCATCCCATCATTACAGGATTGCCAGAAACAAATATTCTTCAGCCACCAAATGTCTGGGCAAACAGGAATGTTTTCAAATTCCTCCTGAAAATTAATAACGGTAGAGACAAATGTGCCTCACTAGGGAGGCATTCCAAAGCCAGGGAGCCACCACTGAAAAGGTCCTGTCACCCATCTTGCTATAAATCTGCTTTCCTGCAGATTTCTGTAAAGAGTCCTTTCTCATTGAACTTTGTGTAGGGAGGATAGAGTTGGCATATCTCTGTGGGTGGACCCTTCCAGCATCATCAGATTATTGCCGTATGTAACTGGATATTACGAGGCATGTAGAAGAGGGTTCCTTTCTTCCTCTTCCATCCCAGTATCTTCGTTAAAAGATGCTTACCTGAAAATACTAAATTAGTTTTTGGCTGTATACACAACATCTGTTTAAAGCACATCTCCCCACCCTAGTTGGAACTGTGGTTTAGAGCTGTGATGCTCAGTATCCTTAACAAACTACAGTTCCCAGAATTCTTGGGGGAGGGGTGCTTTAAACGTATTGTGTGTACGAGGTCCTAGTTAAATATGTGTCTTGTTTTACAGCGGTGTGTACAGTTTTGTGTAGAGACTGGGATTGACTTTGGCCATTTCCTTTATTTTGACAGAAACGTTCTAAACAGCGCAAGCTTCAGCAAAAGGCTCTGCGCAAGAGACAACTGAAAGAGCAACGGCAGGCTCGAAAGGAGAGACTGAGTGGTTTGTTCCTTAATGAAGAGGTTCTTTCTTTAAAAGTCACTGAGGACGACCATGAAAGAGATGTGGATGTCTTGATGTGACAGGAGTGATTTTTTATTTTATTTTAAATCAGTGTTCTTTCTAAGCCTTAAGCCTATTATATTGTTTACATATACTTTTACCAAAATTTTGATTGGAGCGGGGGCTAGTTAGCCTGTGTCCCTCATCTATAGTTTAAAAGCAAAAAAAAGGCATGTGATAAGAGATTAAGAGGATACTTTAAAAAAAGAAAAAGAAACTAAGGCTAATTTATTTTGCTTTCAAATATCTGTGAGTACTTTACTGAAAAGTTTGCTTTTTGTTTGTAATTCCGCCTTAACCAGATAGATATAATAGTTGTTCTTTGGGTAAGAGTATTTCCCCTCTAGCTGCTTTTTGGCCTGAATGGCTTAATGTTATTTTCTTTAAAAAACAAAACAAAAAACTGCAACTCCATTAATAGTTACTGGGTGACATGTCCCAGTGGACGTGGCAGGATTGCTTTTCCTTCTCCTTCCCCCCGTGCCCTCCCCATCTGCTCTGAAGGATCCCTCAGTTTTTGCAGAGCAGATTTTGGGAATGTTGGGGAGGGCTACAAGGGCAAGTCCTGTTTGCACAAGCAAGACACTACAGTTTGACGTCGCACATTTTTGTTCCTACTGCAATCATATCAAGGCTTTAAGGCTACACAAAATCATTTTTAGATTTATTGAAATAATTATTATTTAATTTTTATTTTGCCCTATGCCCATAGAACTCAGGGCGGTTCGCAACATAAAATTACAATAAAAAAGGAATACATAATAAAAACAGAAACAAAGAAACCCCAATAATCCTCCCATGGCTTCATTTACTGCAGGGACTGGGGAACCTTTTAAGCCAAATGCACCCCATGACTAACGTATATGTGGCCCACAAGGGACTATTGAACCTGCGTTTCTGCTTGCCAGGGAATTCAAAACCAGGCAGGCAGAAAGTGCTTGCAAGTGCCTGTCAGGCCATGAATATGGCTACATATAGCCGAGTGGGTCATTCATGGTGTGAAGGCCTGATGTGGTGTTACAAAGCAATAGGACAATCTGGTGAAGGAAACTTCTAGAAACAAATTCACATTTCCTCCCTCTAGATGCATGTGTGTATATGTTCCAAATCACTGTAGTGTCATGTGCCTTAAAATTTATTTGAGACCTTTAAAGTGAAGGTTTTGAGGAGAACATTGCAAAATTGAAATTAAGCAGATAACATTTTCCTGGTGTTTCAAAAAGATAATGTTTATTTCTCAAAGCCCTGTTCAGCTTTTTTGGGGGAAAAGGCAGCGGTTGAGAGATTTCCATCCTGACCTTATGTTTTTGCATAAAACCACATATTTCTTCATTCAGTTTCATGGTTAAAGTGATCTCATTTGGTTAATGTTTATGAGTGGTTTCATGACATTATTTGCTATAACAGAGTTAACCAGGTGTGTTTAAAAGACCCATTGCACATCTTCATTACTGCTGCCCCTACATTGTTTAGCTTTCATATTGTGAATCTGTCGGAGATGCACTAAATTCAGCGTTATGTGCATCCTCCGATACCAGCTAGGAAGCAGCTTCTTCCATTTCAGACTAACCTCTGTTTATTTCACTTGAAGTGTTACAAACTGGTTAGTGTAAGCTACTGTTTTTCTAAAGAAGCTAACTCAAAGGTTGGTTTCTCATCTTGGCTCTTTTGCATAAACCATGGTTAAAAGCAACCGTAGTTCCCAACTCAGGTGAAAGTGGCAAACTCTGGTTAGCTTAAAACTGAAGTGGATGTTGCTGATCTCTGTACGGCCACACAGGATAAAGAGATAGAAATGGGGAGCAGGTTCATGCATGTAATGCTAAGCTGTAGTTTAATGTTTCTGAATCACATCTAACTTTTAGGAACTGATGATACTGTGGGTGAATTTCAAGTAGTTACAAGTGTTGGACATTCACTAGATAAAGGGATTTCTGCTTTAAAAGTGGTTCTTAATGATGTGATACTCCTGGCTCTAATTCTAAAAAGTTTCTACTAAAATCTTGTTTCATTAGGCAATCACACATAACACACACACACACATACCCCTCCCCCAAAGCAGGAAACATTTGTTTTGAAGTAGCTCATAGCTCACAGGTAAAATACTTTGGAGTAAATAGGATAAGACCACAGCCAAAACTCATCATTATGACAATTTTTTTGAGTGTTTGATCTATTTTGCCTCCGTCCTAGATCTTGATTTTTGTAGCTGAATGGTTGCATAACACTTTATAGTTTCCCTTTAAACCCCCACCCCCATTAATCTCCATTTTATTGAGCACATAATGTACTGTGTTTAAGGTGTTTCTCTGTCTAAACTGAACACACTGGTCACTCAGTGAACATTCATTTTGAATTAAACTAGCATTGTAAGTGAAAATGAAACAATAGCTGAGCCCCCACCCCATTCATACACACTTGTTATAGAATGGAAGCAAGTTGGGGGGTCTGCTTGGTAGACTTTTGTCTGGGTCCTATTTATCTTGAATGCTTCACAAGATGCATAAATAATTTAACTAGTGCAAGTGAGCAAATACACAATTCACCTTCTTTGGAATTGCTGATCTCACAAAGCTTAGAAGGAGCACTGAAAACATGATTGGAAAAAAGTTGTTCTCTTAGCCTAATAAGATCTGTTTTACATCTTGTTCTTGCATCTGCATTGGTTTCATTTTCCGATAGAAATGTTTTGACTGAAATAAAGCAGTGACATTTGTGTAAGGCAGGATATAGGATGCTATACCCTGGTTCTGTTCAAAATGCTCGCTGAAGTTGGCGATCTCAACATTTAAGATGATCTTGTGGTTCGCAATAAGTTTTTGTTTTGTTTTTTTCTGTATGTTGGTCAAAGAAAACCATAGAGAATTTCTCACACAAATATTACATCAGATTGTATATATGTACAAGTGTACAGCACTTGTAGAAAATCTTATAGGACATTAGCCAAATTTCTTACTAATGCTGAAATAAAAGGACCTGTTAGTGCTCATATTTTCCCCACCCCCTTGGCACACCTGCCTTCTAAATATTAGCATGCTGTTGACTTTCTTCCTTTTTGCAAACAGGTTTTCCCAGTAGATCAGATTCTCATCACTTATCTGGAAACCTTAACTTGTGGGTGACTAGCCTGTGGCCCTCCATATGCTGTTGGGCTGCAACTCCGCTGATCCCTCAGGCTGATGGGAGGTGAAGTCCAACCACATCTGGTGGATGTACAGTTTAGCCACTTCAACATGTTCCATCTTGGATCAGTGGTACTATACTCCCTGTGTCTTGCAGATTATTTTGGATTATTATTTGTCATGTTGGCCAAAATCAGTGCAGCAGGGGGGCAATTAACATTATAACTTGAGCTCTTATCAGATCATGTGCATCATACTGGATCAGAATGCATTGGGTGTGTGTGTGATGGTTTGTGACCGGGGGGGGGGGGGGGGAGAGATTAGAGAGATGCAGGGAGCATCAAATATGTTCAGAAACATGGTTGAGAGTTGCTTTGTAAGGGCCAATGGCATTGGCATTCTGAGGATGTGTGCTTCATAACCAAAGCAAAGAAGATGTTTACCTTTGGCAATATACTTCAGATGGTCTTAAATACAAATAGATATATTAAATCTGGACTATTTTCCAGGTTCTCTGCAAAAGTGTATTGTATGCTGAAATGCACATGTACATACAACTGTTTGCTGTACATTCTGTATCTGCTCACTATGATGTTTGTGGAAAACTCTGTTCTTTCTTTATTTTTTGATGTTGTGAAGGTTTTTCCCAATAGGATATTGTTTTACTTTTCTCCCCCCTAAGCCCTTAATTGTACTTTAAATTAGTGGATATGATAGTTTGGAATAATATTAAAAAGAAACATAATAATGCAACTACATGTGTTCAGTGCCATACTTGGATTGCTCCTACAGATAAATGGATTATGTGTACTATACGGTCACTGCATATGGTGCTTTGCAGAGTGAGTCAGGAAACACAGATAGATCCCTGTTCTCAAGAAGCTTACAACCTGATTCCTATCAAGTCAGACCACTGATTTACCAAGTTCAGTATCATCATGGACTGGTAGCAGCTTTACAGTGTTTCTGCAGCGCTCTTCCTATTGTCCTTAATTGCAACACCTTTTCCCAGGGACAGGGACTGGTGGAAATGACAGAATTGGTGTGTCAGCATGGGCCCCTCCTCAGCCTTGACATCTACCCAACAGCACCAACTACTTAATGCTGCCAGAAGGAATTTTAAAAAATGTGCTGTACAGTGGTACCTCGGGTTACATACGCTACAGGTTACAGACTCCGCTAACCCAGAAATAGTACCTTGGGTTAAGAACTTTGCTTCAGGATGAGAACAGAAATCATGCGCCAGCGGCACGGCAGCAGCGGGAGGCCCCATTAGCTAAAGTGGAAGCTCAGGTTAAGAACAGTTTCAGGTTAAGTACGGACCTCCGGAACGAATTAAGTACTTAACCTGAGGTACCACTGTACTGTTTTCCTCTTAATTTGCTTGCAAGCACCTTTAGTTTCCACTAGAGGGCATGCTGCAACCACACAAATAGTAAGCCCTTGGTTTAAAAAGCAAAAGTTATTGCTATGTATCAAGTAGGTACAGATAAAAAATTTCTGGAATGCAAAACCACTCGGAGCAGAATTTTAAACACATAAAAAGGTGTTTGCCTGTTTGCTTTCTCCATGAGAATGTTGAAGGTAAAGTAAATCAGTTTACATTAACAGATGATAAAATGTATATGTGATGGCTTTTGGGCGTGTGCACCCCCCACCCATCCCCGGACATACTTGTGTGGACCATCCTTTAGATATCAAATGGTATGTGTATTAGCATAAGGATCCTTGGAAGATGATACTGGGCAGCTTCTGTAAGTAAAGGTTAAACAGTGTTTTTAAATATGTTCTAGCAAAATAAGATCATGCTCTACTGGTGGCATCTAATTAACATGCCAAATGTGACGTCTGAAAGACAACTAGATCTGGAGGCCATTTAGGTCAGCACTCTGCCAGATAGTGTCCAGTAGCTCCTGTCTTAAGACCAGTTCCCAAACTCACCGCACCTGCTGGACCACTTACAAATTGGTTACTGATTTTATTGTTATCATTATCATTGCCTATTGTAGCGGGAAGTAGTGGAGGACAGAGGTGCCTGGCGTGCTCTGGTCCATGGGGTCACGAAGAGTCGGACACGACTAAACGACTAAACAACAACATCAATTGTAGCAATTGTAATGCACTGTGCTCAATGGCTCATGGTTTTTAATTGTATTTTTATTGAGTATGACTTTTTTATTGTATTGTAATTTGAACGCCACAGAATAAAAATTGTAATACGGAGCAATACGTCTTATACAATGTATAAGATAAAAAGAGGCAATACAAATACAATTAAGAATCAATATGGATGTTTAATGTGGACATGTTGTGGATCACCTGAATGAAGCTTTTGGGCCACAGATCACAGTTTAGGAACCCCTTTCTAAAGATAGAGCACCATCTTAGTTTCCTGATACTTTCCAAAATACAGGTTCGATAGCCTAAAAGAGGCACAGTGAAACATTAGAGAAGGGGGCAAGGGAAGACTATGTCATCATTTCAATTACACATGTTTAGGCTGAGTTGCAATAAGAGCCAAGGATTAGGCACTAGGTTAGCATCTCCCAAATTATTGAGCCCCCCTTGGGGTTGATGGGACACTGCAGGAGTTGAATAAGGACATGAAGCAGTTAGTCTGTCACTGAGATGCAGCCGTTCAAAGGAAACCTATTTTAAACAATGAGGGAGAATGATCAGTGGATATAGGAAGCTGTCACAAACCAGGTCTCCACCTGTCTCAGTACTGTCTACTCTGGGGCTGTTTTTAAGCACATAGCTTCCTGCAGAGAATCCTGGAAACCGTAGTTT